GTACCCTAAGAAAAAAAAAAAAAAAAAAAAACTCTTCAAAGAAAGAAAAAAGAAAAATTACTCAGCAAGTGATAATACACAGCTTACAAAATTAAAAAAAAAAAAGAAGAGAAAAATGCTATAGATCTATAGATCTGTAGCAACAATTGAAAAATCCTAATGAATCCAGTTATTTCTTGCCATAGGGCAGGCGCCACCACACCTGGCTGAGTCCAGGTATTTATTTTTCTTTTCTTTTCTTTTCTTTTTTTTACGGCTGAGTCCAGTTATTTATTTTTCTTTTCTTTTCTTTTTTTTTTTTTTTTTGAGAGATATTTTTACTATAAGGTATGTGCGCTTGCCGGAGAGACAGAAATCAAGAAATCACCCCTAGGGGGATAGCCACACCACAATCCCTTCTTCTCCATTCTTTTCTCAGGATTTTGGGCACTCATGTACATGCACCCAGTGTGAGTTTTAAGCTGCCTGGTCCAGGACTCAAACCATGGTCTACCATGTGGGAGTCCAGCAGTGTAACAATTACGCCATCTGCTGGTCCAAGTCCAGTTATTTCTATCCAAAACTAATCCAACAATCTTCAGAAGCAAAGGCAAACTATCACAAGAAAATAATAATAGCCCACTTTAAAGCTATTTACCTCATAATTACTGAGCAGTGCTGCATTGGCATCCTTCCTGCAAAAGAAAATCCAGCCATCAGTATGGGCTCACATCTCATTCTGGGCATTAAGTAACTATAAAATAATTACTGTGTCAAGATCCAGTAAGAATGTGAGGACTACAACCTAAAACTGAAAAATGCCATTAAATCCTACATGGTTTATGCGGCTGTAGACAATTTCGGGGCAGACTCTTCTTTTTATAACTGTAGTATATCCCACCCCAACCACCAGGTAGGTGATTAAAATAGTGTACTCATCCCAAGTCTATGCAGGCAGAAGTTAAGAGGCATCAGACAGTTGAGAGAAGTTAGTTATAGAAGAATACATGACAGAATCACAGAGTGGGGAAGGGCTCAGTAGAGTGAAGGTGCTAGAAATAACCGGAGAAACAAGGTGCCAGCCGTCCCTTATCTACGTCCTCGCCCCAGTGCCATCTGTCTATCAGTCACTGTCATCTTGGGTAGTCAAGACCTGCAGAATCAACAGAAAAGGGTTCACTTAACACTAACCACCCCTGGGAATTTTAGAAGGTGGTTGGTTTATCAAGAATCCTGGGCCAGTCCATGGCACAGTGGTTAAGGTAGCTGGATTCCACATGGCCAACTGCACGGTTCAAGTCCCAACCCTGCAACTTGAGAAATACACTTGGAGCATGTGTGTGCATACTCAAAATACCAAATGGAGAAAGGAATGGAGAAGGGATTGCAACATGACCATCCTCCACGGGGGTTGGGGGTGCTCTCTTATCTTCTCTGTCTCTTTCAGGCAAGCACATGCACCCTCTGGCAAATAAAAAGAAATAAAAGAATTAAAAGAAAAAACCATCATACCAGCCTACCCACAAAGCTTTAAAGGTGTTAATCTTCTATATAAACTCAAGAGGTAGAGTTCCAGTATCAAGTGGTGGTCAAATGTTTGGTGTCTCTGCCTAACAGTCAATCAGGGCATGCCATCTTTGATGTGTGAATGAGTAAGGCAATGCAACCTGTATGAAAATACAGTGGTCTCCCCTTATCCAAGATTTTGCTTTCAATGGTTTCAGTTACTAGTGGTCAACTGCAATCCAAAATTAGGTGAGTACTATAAGATATTTTAGGACAGAGGCTGAACTCACATTCATACAACTTTTTATAGTATATTCTTATAATTGTTTTATTTTATTACTAGTTACTGTTGTACTGATGCGTGAGCTATTAGTATGATTCCTACTTTACAGATGAAACCGAAGCTCAGAGATGAATTAACTTGCTCAAGTTCCCACAGTAAGAAGCCTAAACAAAGTGGAAGATACCTGGATTTGAGAAAAATTAGACTAGATAGATGAGTTAATGGGCACCAGAATCATAAAAACTCAGAATGGTGCTAGCACATGGCGTGGTGGTTAAGGGCACTGGACTCCCACATGGCTGAGCACAGTTCAAGGCCAGGACCTGGCAGCTTGCCTTCTCGCTGTCTCTTTCTTTCTCTGTCTCTCTCTGGTCAAATTAAAATGAATATATAAATAATTAAAAAAAAAAAAAACTCAGGTAAAGGAGTTTTGACTTGACATAACATTCAACAGGGACTACTGTATGTTCTCAAGCCAGGAGTGGGACTAGATGATGAACATGATGACACAAAATTTCAAAAACATGGGCCAGGGCCAGCAAATGGCATGGTAGCTAAGGTTCTGGACTCCCACACGACCGACCATAGTTTGAGTCCCAGTGGCTTGAGTGCTCTCTCTCTCTCACTCTCACGCTGTCTTGCTCTGGTAAGCACACACACCCTACAGCAAATTAAAAAGTAATAATAATAGTGGCCGGTAGGTAGCATGGTGGTTAATGGCACTGGATTCCCACATGGCTGACTGCGGTTTGAGTCCACGACCCAGCGACTTGCTTTCTCGTTTTCCCTTTCTCCTTCTCTGTCTGGTCAAATTAAAATAGTACCAAATGGAAATAAATAAATAAATGTTTAAATAATAATAACAAATAATGAATTAAATTAAATATTCTTTTTTAAAAATTTATTATTATTATTTTCCAGTTCGATCAACCAGAGAGAGAGAAAGCAAGCCACCAGGTCCGGCACTTGAACCATGGTCGGCCATGTAGGAGTGTCCAGCGCCTTAACCACCAGGCCACCTGCTGGTCCTAAATTAAGTATTCTTAAAAAAAAAAAAAAAAAAAAAAAGAACACCACATGGGCAAAATAGACGGGTGAGATTTCTCCAGACAATAAATAAAGCAAAACTACCAGGCGTTTATTTAACACAGGGAATGACCTAGGCCTTAGGTCATCATTATAGTGATGTCAGCACTATAATCAAATCTGCGAGTGAGGCTTATCAAATGCTACTAGTGAGTCAGCAGAAAACAGCCACGATTTCACAAAAGTGCTGCTTTGTCCAAATGATTATAATTGCACTTGGTTCACAAAGTATATCATATTTTAAAAGAACCTAATACAGGAAGAATATTTCATAATTAGTGGATGTGCTACAATGAATTTAAAATTGAAAATGGCAAATCAAACCACATGTTATCTTTGTCTACTTAATCAGGAAGTCAAGCCACAAGGCTTCCTCCTGTTTTTGCTTGTAATTGAGTTACAACTCTTCATGCCCTCTAAAATGAGGAATATTCCAAAAGTTCATGCAAAATTCCTATTATAAAAAAACTCTACATAGATTCAATATTCTTTTGCACCAAAAATAAGCTTGTACTTTAACTCCATTTTTTTGCAAACTTTCTGAACTCATACAAGGCACTAAGACATCCCTTCTTGAAACAGTGAACTGTGAAAAAATATATACACGTTACTGTTTCTTCAGGACACACGGTTCTACCTCAGGTGCCATTATTACAACTTCATTTCCTAACCATGACCCCTTGTTCAGAACATTCCATCCTTTCCATGTCTTGAGAAATACTGCCCTGGCCCTTTCAAGTTACTGCCCTACTACTCAAGTCAATATTTTTTAGTATTTTTAATGGAGAGAGAGAGACACGCACAGAGGCAAGTACCCTTCATGGGGTCTCACCATGCTGTGATCCTCCCCCAAGTCTCCCAGCCAGGTATGATCACTAGTGCATGTGGCTGCTCCTAGTGTGTTCCCATTGACCTGGGATCCAAGCCTGGGCCTCCCATGTAGCTCTCATATAGTATGTTAGCACTCTATCACCTATGCCACCATAGCTGAGCCTCAAGTCAACATTGTTAATTCAAGAATCCAAGGAACATCACCCGCCTTTGTTAGAACCAATACACTATACAATGAAGAAGGGAAACTCTCATGTACTAAGGAATCTGCATCTGGGACCAGGAAAACAATGTATGTTTAAATGCATACTGTGGAACCAGCAGTTAGAGTAATGGCTATGTCACTGGATTCCCGCGGTTCCCGTCCAGGACCCAGTGGCTTAAAACTCACGCTGGGCGCCTGTGTGTGCGTGCCCAAGATCCCGAGAGGAGAATGGAGGAGAAGGGACTGTGGCATGACCATCCCCCCTGGGGGGTGATTTCTCACTTTCTGTCTCTATGTCTTTCTCTGTCTGTCTGGCGAGTGCACGCACCCTATTGTGAAAACCTCTCAATAAATAAATAAATTAATTAATAATAAAATTTTAAAAATGCATACTGTATCTTATCGACTCTAGCTGGAGAAGCTGATTTACTAATTGATTTTCTGTTACAAGGAAGATAAATCATTTTTTTTTACACAGTTAAATACTTACACAGTAAACGCCACTATGTACTATGTCTTTCTTTATTCAATAAAATATCAATGAATACAGCAATATTCATTGATACCTTTGATGAAGTCCCAGATGAGCTATATGCATTGGGAAATTTTTTTTAAGAGAGAGATTTTGGCCATAGGGTGCGTGCACTCACAGAGAGACAGAATACTAGAAATCACCTCCCCATGGGGTTGTGGCCACACTATAGTTCCTTCTCAGTCACCTCTTGGGATTTGGGGCATGCATGCACATGTGCCTTGTGTGAATTTTAAGCTACTGGGTCCAAGACTGGAACTGTGGTTGACTACATGGGAGTCCAGCAATGTAACCATTACACCATCTGCAGGTGCTGGGAAATTTTTTTTAAAGGCAGTTTTTATCCTTAAAAAGATATTATAACGGAGACCAGCAGTTGGTGTAATGGCTATGCCGCTGGACTCCCATGTAGTCGACTGCAGTTCAAGTCCTGGACTCTGTCTTAAACTCACATCAGGCATGTGTGCATGCATGCACAAGATCGCGAGAGGAGAATGGAGGAGAAATGGAGGAGAAGGAATTGTGGTGTGGCCATCCCCCTGGAGGGGATTTCTCGCTTTCTGTCTTTCTCTCTCTCTGGCTTTCTGGCAAGCGCACATGGCCTATAGCAAAAAAAATAAATAATAATAAAAAATAAAGGATGATAGATTGTTGGGAACAAGATATGGGGAGACCAGACAGACATTGACTTAATCAATTATCTGACTTAATGGAAGCAATGGTGATGTGACATATACATCACTTATAGCAATTTGGTCAAAAATTGATTCATTTGAATCTAGTTGTGAGGATATAATCAGACAGTTCCAAACTGAGGAACATTCTTAGAAACAGGCCTAAACGGTTTAAGTATTAATGTCATTTGTCACAATGCCAATGTCACAAAAAGAAGCCTGAAAACTATTCAAGGATAAAGGAGATTAAGGACACAAGACAACTAAATGCAATGTGCAGTTCTGTACAGGTCCTGAACGGAGGGGAGAAACCAGCTACAAGGATATTATTGGGACAGCTGAAATGTTAATACAGACTGTATTTTAGTAATACTAGCTATAAAAGTGCTAAATTTTCTGGGTGTGATAATAGTATGTTAGTTACACAGGAAAATGTCCTTAATTCAAGAAGGGGTGAAATAATATAACGTCTACAACTTTTGAAATAGTTCAGTAAATTATATGTGTGTGTGTGTTAAGAAGTTTGTGTATGTGCAAAAAAAATAAGGTAAATATCCAAATAAAAATGTTAACAATGGCTGATCTTGTGACCTAGTATTTAAGGGAATTCCACATGGGTGACCGTGGTTTGAATCCTAGCCCAGGTGGCTTGAAAACCACCAGGTGTGTATGCATGCATGCCCCAAATCCAGACGCAATGAAGAAATGGAGGAGGGAGAAGGGATTGCAGTGTGACCATAGCACATGCCCCTTTGCAGGGTCTTCTCCCTCTTCCTGTCTCTCTGGCAAGCACATACACCCTCTGGCAATTAAAAAGAAAAAAAAAAAGTTAATGAATACTGACTCTAGGTAAAGAGTATATAGGTAGTACTTGTGGTGCTCTTTTTGCAACTGTTCTATAGGACTAAAAATTTTCAAGCTAAAAAGTTAAGAAAAATAAAATGTAAAATTATATTAAAGAATTCCATAAGGTTTTTTTTTAAAGAAAATAATTATTTTATTTCATTTTATTATTATTTTTTAATTTGACCAGAGAGAGTGGTAAAGTAAGATAGCAAGCCTCCAGATTCAGGACACAAACTGCAGTTGTCTGTGTGGGAGTTCAGTGCCTTCATCACCACGCCACCTACTGGCCCCTCCATAAGGTTTTTAAAAAAGACATTACTATGGAACCAGCAGATGGCATAAAGTTTACCTGGACTCCCATGCAGTTGATCATGATTTGAATCCTAGACCAGCTGCTTAAAACTCACGCTGGGCACATGTGTGTGCGTGCCCAAACTCCTGAGAGGAGAATGGAGGAGAAGGGATTGCAGCGTGGCCATCCCCCCTAGGGAGTAATTCCTCATTTTCTGTCTCTGTCTCTTTCTCTTTGGCAAACGCGTGTACCCTATAGCAAAAACCTCTCTCTAAAAAAAAAAAAAAAAAAAAAAAACAATAAAAAAAGGTCCCATGGACTCATGAAGCTATTCAAATTCATCATAGTTCCAGCATTTCTCCAGTTACTCAGGATAAAAACGAAAGTAGCATCCTCCCAAATGTTTGCGTACTTTTTTCATATTATCCTGTCATTACAGCACTTTTGACAAACTCACATCTTGCTTATTTATTGGATAACTTGCCATAAAATTTCTACCTCTTTTTTTTTAAGAATTATTTATTTATTTAATTCCATTTGTTTTTATTAGTTTTTTTAATTTGACCACCAGACAGAGAAAGAGAGAGAGAGAAAGAGAAACGCGTGTACCCTATAGCAAAAACCTCTCTCTAAAAAAAAAAAAAAAAAAAAAAGATATTACTATAACTTATAATTGGGAACATAAAATTTCTACCTCTGTTTTTTTTTAAGAATTATTTATTTATTTAATTCCATTTGTTTTTATTAGTTTTTTTAATTTGACCACCAGACAGAGAAAGAGAGAGAGAGAAAGAGAAAGCGAGAAAGCAAGCCACCAGATCTGACACTTGAACCATGGTCAGCCATCTGGGAATCCAGCACCCTTATCCACCACACCGCCTGCTGGCCCCATCTACCTCTGTTTTTTAGAGCTACTAAAATCTGTCAATTGACAAATCTGTCAACTACAAATGCACAAACTGTTGATATCTACAGAGCAGAAACGGTCTGATAGCACTTCAAGATTATTAAATACATTCACATGCAATCAGACCTCTAGAAACTGCCTACCTGACAAAACTTTATATTCTCTTATAGGATTTAGAATAGAACAGCACTGATTTTATTTGTAGGTGTTTAAAGAAAATACTCCCTTGGGGCCAGCAGGTGGTGTGGTGGTTGAGGACACTGGACTCCCACATAGCCAACCAGGGTTCAAGTCCTGGACCTGGCAGCTTGCTTTCTCACTTTCCCTTTTTATCTCCCTCTACTCTGTCCCTCTCTGGTCAAATTAAAATAAATAAATAAAGTTAAATAAAATAATTCTTTAAGAAAAAAAGAAAATACTCCCAATGAATTGTTTTAAGATTTATTTTATTTAACTTTATTTATTATTATTATCATTATTATTTTCCAGTTTGATCAGAGAGAGACAGAGAGAGAGAGAAGAAGTGAGAAAGTAAGCCACCAGGTCCGAGACTTGAACTGTGGTCGGCTATGTGGGAGTCCAGCGCCTTTAACCACCATGCCACTTGCCGGCCCCAACTCCCAATGAATTTTTAAAAATGTCTAAATCTACACTGCAAGTAGGCAGAAACTTAATATCCTTAAGCAATGAATTAATTGACTGAAGTTGGCTTACTATTTGAAATTTAACCTGTAAAATTTGCTTAACTTGCTGATCAATTTAATAGATTTAAACAAATACTTTGGAAAGCTGAATTCTAAACAAACAGAACAAAATGATCTCTTGACAGACTTTCCTTAAAAGCACACACGCACACAAAACAGCACATGCAAACAGTGCCTATTAATTGCCACACAGTTAACTCTTACGAATGCAATGACAGAGTTGCTCAAATTTTCCTGTGCTCAATCTGCCAATTCAAGTCGTGTTCTGAAAAATCAAACATTGGTACAAGAAAATTGGGTAGTCTTTGAAATCAATAAACAAAATAACCTGTAGCGTTCTTTTTTTTTAAAGAATTATTTTATTTAACTTTCTTTCTTTCTTTCTTTCTTTTAATTTGACCAGAAAGGAACAGAGTAAAGTCCACAGGGAAAGTAAGAAAGCAATCTGCCAAGTCCAGGATAAACAGAGTAAAAGAGACAGGAAAAGTAAGAAAGCAATCTGCCAAGTCCAGGATTTGAACTGCAGTTGGTTATGTGGGAGAACAGTGCCCTCAACTGCCATGCCACCTGCTGGTCCCATTGCCTGTATGTAGCATTCTATTGGGAGCTAGCAAACAAGTATTCCCTTTTCGGTCCTATTATCAAATTATTACAGTACTCATAACCTAACTTTCCCAAATCTCAGTATTCCTACATGAAAGAAATTCTAACACTACCTTGAAAAAACAGTACAGAGAATACCTGGGATCTATGCTCCTATGCACTTAGTTCAAGAATAAAAGTTGGCAGAATGGTTATGTCGCTGGACTCCTATGTAGCCCACCGTGGTTCCAGTCCCAGACCTGGTGGCTTAAACTCACGCCAGGCACATGTGGGTGTGTGCCTAAGATCCCAAGAGGAGAATGGAGGAGAAGGGACTGGGGCATGGCCACTGCCCCTGGGGGATGATTTCTCACTTTCTGTCTGTCTCTATCTTTCTGGTGAGTGCAGGCGCCCTTTAGCAACAAGCAGATAAAACCTAGCAAAAAACTCTCAAAAAAAAAAAAAAAAAAAGGCAGAGCATTGTATCTTTTTAAATAAGAATTGTTTTATTTAACTTTATTTATTTGTTTGTTTATTTTAATTTGACCAGAGAGGGACAGAGTGAGAAAGAGAGGGAAAGTGAGAAACTAAGCCCCTAGGTTTTCAAGTTGTAGATTAAACCCTATCAATGGACTACAAAATAAATTTAGTGGGTCAATATTCTTTGGTTTTTTTAGGTTTTGCCATAGTGTGTGTGTGCTTGCTGGAGACAGAGACAGAACGAAAGTGAGAAATTACTCCCCCCTCCAGGTTGCGGGGGTTACCATGCCACAATCCCGTCTCCATTCTCAGGGTTTTGGACTGGGCGCACGTGCACACGGTGTTTTTCAAACCACTGGATCTGGGATTGGAACAGCAGATTGAGCATGTGAGATCCAGCACCTTAACCTCCACGCTCCCTGCTAGCCCAGGTCAATATTCTTTTCAGTAGAAGAAAAATAATATCAGAGAGTACAGCATGCGCTAAAGATGAGTGTTGTTTCATGAGCCTTTCAGTTACATATACATACTGTGTTTAAAAAGAATCAGAAAAACAGCGCATTTAGTCTGTAAACACAAAGCAAAAGAAAAAGAAAAATGAGTACGAAATAATCAGCGCCACAGAGAACACAACACAGGCACGCCTACAAGTTAACGCCCACCACGAAAAAACCCACATGCAGAGATGTAAAAACCTGTTTGCACGGGGTACGCGAACACGTGGCGAAGACCACGTGAAGTTACTGTTAGGCCGGCTTTTATTCCCTCATGTACACGCACAGAAGACGGCCACACACTCCTGCTCTCCGACCTCACTCGGCTCCTGCTCTTCAAAGAAAGCCCGCCCCTTCCTCCCAGGGCCAACGGCTCCTCAGCACCCTCGGAGTGGCCTCCTCCGAGCTGGCTCCCAAGGAGCCCACGGGCCCGACACAGCACTATGGCAGCACGTATCCGTCCCTCCTGCTCAGGGCTTTACAGCCGGGTCGGAAACCCGGCCGGGCTCCCCTCCCCACCGTGACCCGGGAGGTGGCTCATTTAAAGGCAGCGGGCCCCTGTAGCACCCCGCCCCGCGTCTCTCGGTCCCTAGTTGCGCGCCCCGGCTGCCTACACTTCCATGTCGTCCCGCGTCGCCTCCCCAGGCGGCAGACGGATACAGAGCCTCACGCTGCGGCGCCGCCACTGTCTCTCGCCCGGTCCGTCGCTTAAGTCGCCGGTTCCGCGCGCCGCGGTGCAGGCCGGGACCGCCGCGCTGCACGCCGGGAGCTAGGGTGGCTTTCCGACTACGGTGCCGGGCTCGGCTCCGGCTCCGGCTCCGGCTCCGCACCGCAGCTGTGTCCTTCGCCCAGCCGCACTTCAGACTGCAGGGCGTCTGCAGACAGAGCTTAGCTCCTCTTTCCTTGGTCAAGGTTTTAGCGGAGAATTAGCAAGCTAAGGTTCTCGAGACGTGGCCGGGTTAGCAGGCCTTCCGATGGGAAAATCCCACTCCTGGAACCGAAGATAGGGCGAGCGGCCTTGGGGCTGCGGGGAATGTTCTGGTTCAGATCTGGGTGGCTGTGTTCAGGTTGTGAAAGGACAGTGAGCTGTATGCTTCTGTACACTTTTCTGTATGTCTGTTATAGTGGATTAAAACGTTAAAGATTTTCAAGGTTTCTTCCTTTAAAAGTACTTGTCAAAACAGTATGAGAAGGCTTAATGACAGTGTCTGATCTTGGGCCTTTTTGCAATACGAATTTGTTCCAAGGAAATGATCAGATGCTTGATAAAGGATGTATGTGTAGTGATGATTTTGCTGGCAAATAACCTAAATGCCCAACAGTAGGGGATTGGGCCTTCATGTTCCACCCATGCAGTATAAAGTACGTGGCCATGAGAAGTGCAGCATATTTGGTATGTTGGGTAAATGCTCAAGGTAGGATTTTTCAAAGATATTAGATGATGTGGTGTGAGCTAAAGATAAATAATGCATAGGAAAAAATAAAAGTAGAACCATCCAATTTACTATGTTTTACATCTCAAAAAGCAAGCCTTGATGGAGAGGTGTGTCTGTTATCTTCTGTGCTTATTGATATGTTTGAAATATATTTCATACAGACTGGAAGCAAGCATGCCAAAATATTCACAGTGGCAGGTATCTTTGGATGAGGAGTCAATTGCTAATTTTGTTCTGCTTTTATATACTCCCAAGTTCTATTCTATATTTACTGAGCTCTTGGTTTTTGTTTGTTTGCTTGTTTTGTTTTTTGCAAGGTCCTAAGCACTTTGTTATTCTTTGATATTTACAGTTCATGGAAGTCTTATTAGTGGCTATGCAGGTTATGCAGTCAGAGAGACTGTGATCTGTTTACCTACATCACTTTCTTAGATGCTGTTCAACCAACCTGCGGGAGATAACTTCTAACCTCATTTCCCTAATTCTCTAATAGGTCGGTATGGTGTTCTTACAAATCATCTGTCACATACTAAGTTGCACAACAAATATTAATTACTAGAGCAGGGTCCCCCAGTGGCATGGTGGTTAAGATGGTTGGGTCCCACATGGCCAACTGCACAGTTTGAGTCTCAGACCCAGCGGCTTTAAAAACACACCAGGTACATATGCATGTGCGCCCAAAATCTGGAAAGAAGAAATGGAGAAGGGATTATAGCACAGACTTCTCCCATGGGACAAGAGTTGGGGATACTTTTTCACTTTCCCTCTCTTTCTCTCTCTCTCTCTCTGTCTCTGGCAAGCACATGTACCCTCTAGCAAAAACAAACAACCATAAAACTAGGCAGTACAAAATAAATGACACTATGGGGGTAGATTTTATTATTCACATTTTACAACTGAAAAATCATGAGGCAGGCTTGAAGAGATTACAGTTTCTGGATTTACTTACCTAAGAACTTGTCCAGCAGTGACTAAACTACAGGCAATCTGAACAAAAAAGTGAGAGGTATATTAAATAGTGACTGAGGGCCAGCAGGTGGCACAGTGGTTAAAGTAGTTGGATCCCACATGGCATACTCCAGGTTCTAGTCTCAGAGCTGGTAGCTTCAGAAACATGCTGGTATGAGTGCATGTGTGCTCAAAACCCACAGAGGAGAATGAAGGAGAAGGAGTTGCTGCGTGGCCTGCCTCCCTGGACGGTGATTTCCCACATTACCTCTCTCTGGCAAGTGCACACACCCTATAGCAAAAGTGAAAAAAAAAAAAAAGACTGATGACTGGATAAATGTGTTATGTTCATACAATGGAATCGTATTTATCAATAAAAGAATGAAGTGGTGATGCACACTTCAACATGGATGACCCTCATAAACATCATCCTAAGTGAAAGAAGCTAGACAGAAGACTACATCTCACATGATTAATTTTAGATGAAATGTCCATCCAAAGTCAAATCTATGGAAACAAAAAGTAGATTAGGGCCAGCCCTGTCACCTACTGATGCATGGCCAAAATCACAGTGGGAGGAAGAGATGGGGGAAAAGGGATTACAGTATGACCATGCCCCATTGAAGGGAGCTTTGTCTCTCTTCTCTCGCTCTGTCTGGCAAATGCATTCTGGCAATTAAAGTCTACTACTGGTTGTCCAGGGATGGGGAGTGACTGATAACAGGTACCACCTTTCTTCTGGGAGAGACAAAAATGCCTTAAAATTATAATACATTGTGATGATTGCACAACCCTGTGGGTATACTGAAACACAATGAATTGTACACTTTCAGTGGGTGATTGTTATATATCAATAAAGCTGTTAATTTTCTCTTTTTTTTTTTTTTTTTTTACTGATGGTTGCCTCTAGAGAGTAGAACAGAACGGAAGTCAAAGTCTGGCTTATTTTACTCACCGTTATTTCTTCCACATTCATCCATTATGCCTCAACTGAGAGGAATTCATATTTTTCCCAAAATAATTATTTATCTTTATTTTAATTTGACCAGAGAGGGACAGAGTGAGAGAGAGAAAGAAGGAAAGTAAGGAAGCCAGTTGCTGGGTCTGGGACTCAACCACGGTCTGCCACATGGGAGTCCAGTGTGCTTCATCACCACACCACCTGCCAGCCTTGGAATTCACCTTTTCTTATGACAGGACATCTTGAGAGGGATTTTTTTTTTTTTAATTGTCAGAGGGTGTGTACACTCACCACAGAGCACCCTGGATGGGGCATGCTCACACTACAATCCTTTCTCCTCCACTTCTCTGTCCTGTCAGGATTTGCACATGCACCCAGTGTGATTTTCATGCTGCCAAGATTTGAACTGACATCAGGCACGTGGGATCTGGCTTTCTTAATCACTAGGCAATGGGGCCAGCCTGAAGAAAGATTTTTTAAATTTAATTTTACACATTCTGAAACTAACTTTTTTTTTCAATTAACATGTTATTTTTCTTCTTTTATTTTTGTTTAAGATTTTTTTTTCCATAGGGCACCTGCACTCTCCAAAGAGAGACAGAGAGGAAAATGAGAAATCACCCTCTGGGAGGGATGGCCACACTGCAATCCCTTCTCCACTCCTCTCGAGACTTTGGGCACACATGCACACACATTCTGTGTGATTTTCAAGCTGCCACATCTGGAGCACAAGTCATAGTCAGCCATGTGGGATCCAGTGCCTTAATCACCATGCCACTTGCTGGCCCTGAACCTGCTATTTTTAAGTTACAAAACTAATTTACTTCAAAAGTCAACAAATAAAATGCCTCATTTGTTTGGAGAGTCCCCTGTATGTTCCTGAGAGAGTGAGCCCCACAAAAAAAAAAAAAAAAAGTGCTAAAAACACTCATTGTGTTATTCACTCAACCAACATGTGATGGCTAACTTGGTGCTGATGATAATATAAATAATACACACCCTTTGTGCTGGCTAGTTGACTAACTAGTTGAGGAACCAGCTCAGGACATAAATAACTATAATGCGCTGTTTTTAGATGCAATGGAGCCGAGGAGGGAATGACTAATGAGTGGAAGCGTCCCAAAGCCCAAAGCCGGGGCTTTAGCTGGATGAGGGGGGTGGAGCACACAAGGTCAAGGTTTTAGGGATGGGCTTCTGTGGAAGAAAGACTGGTGTCTCTGAGGGCCCTATAATAAACTAGCTCAGGTGCGTGGGGCCAGCAGGTGGCAACCCCTTCCCCTACATTCTCCTCTCGAGATTTTGGGTACACATGCATGTGTGCCCAGCATGAATTTTAAGCCACTGGGTCCGGGACTCAAACCATGGTTGACTACATGGGAGTCCAGTGACATAAACATTACACCAACTGCTGGTCCCGCTTGGACTGTTGTAAAGTTCTGACGGTGAGAGGCCTCTGCCTGGACTTAGTAGAGACCAACTGTCTCTACTAAGAACTAATGGGATCGGAGCTCTTGTCATCTCCTATGGCATTCTTTCAAGTGGGCTCCTGCATACCCAACACGAGGATATGCACCCAGATTGTCCATATGGCCAATATATATTTGCTAGAGGGTACATGCACTCAATGGACAGTAAAAGAGAGAGAGAGCACCCACTCATAGGGGTTCTCTATGCCACACTCCCTTCTTCACTCTATATAGTCAATCTTTTTTTAAAAATTTGTATCTACATTTGTTTTATGCTGACTTTATTCCCGTGTCATAAATCTTTATTTCTTCAGTTTTTTTCTGGGATATCTTTTTCTTCTGGGTAACTTCCCCTCTGGTTTAGGAACAGTATGCTCCTTTTCAGTGAGGATCATCTCGATGTGGCAGGGGGAGCTCATGTATGGGTTAATCCCTCCATGAGCTCTGTACATACGATGGCGCATTTGGGTGCCTTGTTCACCTGAATGTGCTCAATGACCAGAGAATCTACATCTAACCCCTTAAGTTCAGCATGACTCTGCATTTTTAAGCATGTGTAGCAAAAATTCAGCACTCTTTTTGGGCCACTGACCTTGTGTCCAGCCCCACTGTTTGGCCTGGGCACATCTATCAACTCCACCATTGTAACAACAGAATGGCACACACTGCTTCTGTAAAGTGACATCCTTCAGATACTTGGTGGTTTTTTGGATGGGCATACAGTGTGGACAGCTTCACAAGTGTTCTTAAAATGAATATGAAAATTTGAACCTCTTGATTTGCATGACTTTATGGGGTTATCTGGGTCAAGTGAATAGTGAACCATTTTCACAGATCACCTCAGGTTGCTTATGAGAAAAGCCCGTATTGTGGCTGGCAGGTGGCATGGTGGTTAAGAGCACTGGATTCCCACATGGCTGACCACGGTTCGAGTCCCAGACCTGGAGGCTTGCTTTCTCGCTTTCCCTTTCTCTCTCCCTCTTTGCCTCTCTCCAGTCAAAATTTAAAAATGATAATAACAACAAATGGAATTAAATAAATAAATAAGTAAATATTAAAAAAGAAAGAAAGAAAGAAAGAAAGAGAGAAAAACCTGTATGGTCAATCTTAACTCAGCAAATGAAGACCTCGATGCCTTGTCAAACTTTATTCACTACAAGGACCGGAAACAAGGATTACCACATGAGATTTAGTAATGATCCTCTTAGCCAGTAGTTAGTTAATTTGGCCCCTTGGGCAATTAACTTCTGACAGATCGATCTTGGCAGGCATTATCGCTGCCCTGCGCAGATCATGAGCTCTGTGGCCAGACTTCTGGGTTCAATTTCCAGCTCTGTCATTTCCTGGCGGGGTGCCTTTGGACCAGTCACTTCATCTCTCCCAGACTCAGTTTCCTCATCAGTAGAATGGGAGTGATGATAGCATTGACTTCGAGGGGTGGTTGTGAGGGTTTAAAGAGATAACCCACGTGGGATGTTTAATATGGTGCCTGGCACACTGTTAGAACTCCAGGATTCTTAGCTGTTATTGTCATTTTGGATTGTTTTTTTTTTTTTTTTCTCCTTTTTTATATAGCGAAAACACCTTGGTCTCATTCTAAATATTGTCAAGTTTTTTCCTTCCTCAGGCAGGAGTCAGCTTGACATTCCCTAGAGTGATGCTCAGGGGGTGTGAATGAGTTAAGAACCCCTTCCTTTCTTCCATAGCTCCCTCTTCTGATAGACTGTTATTATTGATAATAACATTTAAGAGACAGAAAGTAAAAGGGACAAAACACTTCCTGATGGGACATGGTCGCCACAGTCCTTTCTCTGGTTCTCCATCCTGTCAAAATTCTGGGCATGCATGCACACACATCCAGTGTATTTTTTCAAGCTGTTGGGGCTGGGATGCACACCACAGTGAACCATATGGGATCTGACTCTCTTACCCACTAGGCTATGGGACCAGCTCCCTGTTGCTATTTTTTCTGTCTGTCCTTGTGTCCTTTGTTCTTATTTTCTTTCTTTTATTTTTTTAGAGAGATTTTTGCTATAGAGTATGTGTGCTCACTAGAGAGACAGAGAAAGACAAAGAGACAGAAAGCGAGAAATCACTCCCCAGGGGGGATGGCCACACCGCAATCCCTTCTCCTCCATTCTCCTATAGGGATTTTGGGCATGCATGCACACACGTTTGGCATGATTTTTATTTTTAGAATTATTTTATTTAACTTTATTTACTTAAAATAAATAAAGAAGGAGAGCAAGAGACAGAAAGGGAAAGTGAGAAAGCAAGTCACAGGTCCAGGACTTGAACCACGGTTGGCCATGTGGGAGTCCAGAGCCCTCAACCACCATGCCACCCGCCAGCCACCCGCCAGCCCCCCGCATGAGTTTTAAGCTGCCAGGTCTGGAACTCGAACCATGGTCGACTATGTAGAAGTCCAACAACGTAACCATTATGTCATCTGCTGGTCCCTGTGTCCTTTGTTCTTGAGGTTTGTTTGGTTTTGCTTTTAAACAGGACCTTGACATGTTACAAATCTCTTGTTCCAGTCCTCCCTGCTGGGACTGCAGGTATGTGCCACCATGCCTGGGCCAGCCTTGAGCTCGTGACCCTCCTGCCTTAGCCTCCCTGAGTTGCTGGGATTGCAGGAGCATGCCCCTGAGCTTGGCCTTTAGGTTGGACCAGAAATCGAAGCCAGGCTTTCATGTGGTCACAGCCTACATAGCATCTTAGCAGCATGCACCAGTGGATCTGGGCCCCTAACTTTTCGATTAATTACATTTTAGCATTTCACATTTTTCCCCCTGACTTTAGGTGTACCTTTTTTTTTTTAAGTTGGTTGCTCTAGGGTTTACAACAAAAATCCTTAACCTATCCAAGTTACCCTGAATGAGTATTACACATCTTCATAGCTAATGTAAGTACCTTACAACAGTATAATTCCATTAGTCTTCTCCTCCACTTTGTTATAAAAATGTTATCTTGGGCCAGTAGGTGGCATGATGGTTGAGGTGCTAGATCACACATAGCTAACTACATGGTTCAAATCCTAGACCAGGGGCTGGCAGGTGTTGTGGTGGTTAAGCTGGCTGGACTCCCACATGGCTGACCATGGTCCCATGGTTCAAGTCCCGGACCTGGAAGCTTGCTTTCTCACTTTCCTCCTCTCTCTGTTTCTCTCTGGTCAACTTCAAAATAAATAAATAAATAAAATACTGACAATGAATAAAATTAAATTTTAAAAAATTATTTAAAAAAAATCCTAGGAACCAGCAGATAGCATGATGGCTCTGTTGCTAGATTCCCATGTAGTCAACTGGGGTTTGAGTCCCAGACCTAGTGGCTTAATTCATGCCAGGTGCGTGCCTGCCCAAGATCCTGAGAGGCAAATGGAGGAGAAGGGATTATGGCATGGCCATCCACGCTAGGGGGTGATTTCTCACTTTCTGTCTCTCTGTCTTTCTAGCAACCACACACACCCTATAGCAAAAACCTCTCCCTCCCGCCAAAAAAAAAATCCAGACCAGAAGCTTGAAAAATGCTGGGTGCATATGCATACATGTCCAAAATCCCAAGAGGAGAAAGGAGGAAAGGGGATTATGGGGTGGCCATCTCCCCTGAGGAGTGATTTCTCAACACTTTCTCTTTTTCCTCTTTCTTCTTCTCTCTCTCTGTCTCTCCAAAAAGTTACATGTGCCCTATAGGAAAGAAAGGGGGGACCAGCAGTTGGCATAATGGCTAGGTTGTTGGACTCCCATGTAGTCAATCATAGTTTGAGTCCTGGACCCGGTGGCTTAAACGCCAGGCACATGTGCATGTGTGCCCAAGATCCCGAGAGGAGAATGGAGGAGAAGGGATTATGGCATGGCCATCCCCTCTGGGAGGTGATATCTTGCTTTCTGTCTGTTTCTTTCTGGCAAGCACACACGCTCTAAAAACCTCTCAAAAAAAAATAAAGGTATCATTTTTACCTTAAGTAGTCACTTTAAAAATGAAATTAGGAGAGAAAAATGTCTTCTACACACAGTTACCATTTGTGGTGCTCTTTTTTCCTTCCTGTAGACCTGTGCATCCATCGATAGCATTTTCTTTCATCATGAAGAGTATCTTTAGCATTTTTTGTAGTTTGAGTCTCCAGACAATGAATTTCTCAATCCCATCTGCTCTCTCCATTGCATTATAGGGTCAAGGCAACCCTAGCAATTCCCTGGAAATGGACTCACCACAGGCGCCAAAGCCAGCAGTCCCAGCATGGCAGTGTATGACTGAGTCCGAGGTGATCGATGGGACTCCTGAGAACGAGGCATCTTCAGCTGTGGTCCGCAGAGTCCAAAACCCAGCCTTTCTGCCAGCTGTGCTTCCACATTGACTTCAGGGTCCACCCAGAGCTCCTGCTTTGGGGAGGAGCTGATTACTGTGTTACGGGCTGAGTGTTGCCTACCAAAGGCCTGGATAGTGGCCATTCAGAGCTCTTTTCTTACCTCTCTGTGGATTACAGGTAGTGAAGGCTGGCCTCCTGACCATGGGAGATAAGCAGTTCTTCTGTCCCATCCTCCCTGCACTGGTAACCTCCCTAGGATTTTTGCTCAGGGACCTCAGGTTTTCAAAATAAACTTGGCTATTCTGTTCCCATGGCTCTTCAATGCCAAAGATGCTTCCTCGAGATCAAGGTCATGTCCACTTCAGTCTGTACCATTAGGGACTCACAGTTGCAGGTCCCTTTGACATGTCTGTTTTTTTTTTGTTTTTTCTTCACAAGCTTCTATACTGCCTCCCTGTCTTCCTCTTCTTCCTGAGTTCCTTGTTCCCTCTCTGCAGAATGGCCTCCATACAGGCCAAGATTGCTATTTGTAGCAAGCACATCTGGACCAATGGCCTCTCTTCTGTCATCTGGTACAGTGTGGGCAGCCAGACTGTCCCCTTCTACCTGGGTGTCCATGAATATGTCTTCTAACCCCAGTCTCTTGCAGCTTCTGTTTCCTCACTATTAACAGGACTGCTGTGAAGAGGAAGTGAGATGAACTGTGTGAGGGCTTTCACATAGAGCCTGGCACGGGTCAGTTACTCATGTTAGGTGTTATGGCTACAGCCCTGCTGTCAAACGCCTGCCCCCACTCCCCTTTCCTGTCTTAAATCATTTGCCACAGTGCTTGGCCCCTGTATGTTGATAGCAATCCATGAATGTGACCTCATGCAAAATGACACTGGTTTTCACACTTGGCCTCTCAGGAAGGGACGCCAGGCCTCAGACACTATCTGGTAGATGCCAGGCCTTGCCACTTCACTTTTTCATTTTTCAGGACCACATGGCTATGGCTGGTCTTACTCTTTTTCTGTCTTCCTAGCAGCCTGCTGCAACCCAGGGCTGGGACTTCTTTGGGGAAAGACAGGAGAGGAGGGAGGGTCAGGTTAGAGAGATACAGTAGATGAACCTTGCTCCCAAGAAGCTCACAGTGGGCCAAGCAGAAGACCCAGAAGTAGCTACTAGAGTTTTCCTAATTCAGGGGGAGATTGCTAGATGCCCTTATGCTCAAGGTCTCATGGGTGCCCAGAGCTAGACATCTGGACCAGCTGGGAGGCAACCCCATGTTGATGATGTTGGCCAGAATATTGATGGATGACTGGGAGGTAGGAAGACAGCGGAGACTTCCCGGGCACAGGGAGAGCATTTAAGGAGACTTGAAACAGCGTGCTGCACTCTGACAATGCCAAATAATCCCGCTCTTGAGATGAGTGAGGGCTAAAAGCCTTCAGCCCACAAGGCATCCAATCCAGCCTTTGGTCTCTCCGCCCTTCCATAACATGCTCAATACTGTTGCCAGATTTATCTTTTCAAAAAAGAAAGTTGGTTTTCCTGATTTTAAAAATTTATTGGCCCCTTTGACCCAAAGGACCGAGAACAAACTTCCCCCTTTGACATCCAAGGCCCTTCACAAGCTTAGCCCAATCCACTCCCATTCTCCCCAGCCCCTGACAGCCACTCTGATCATTTCCTGTCCTCCAGGCAGGCCACTCACATTCTGGCCACCCAGCCTTTAACCTGGCTACTCCCCTCTGCCCGCCTACTCTCCTTTTCTCCAGTAAGCAAACCCCCACATCTTCCAAGACTCAAGTCTGGGACATCTTCACTGGATCCTCTATAGGGCATAAGTTCATGGCTGTACCTCCAGCGTCTAAAACTAGCTATCATTTTTGTTAAATAATCAAGTAATCATATCAAGGAACTCTTCCCTGAGCACCAAAAACAGACGCTCCCCCTCAGGGGTCCTCCCACATCTGGTCCATTTCATACGCTCATTTCTTTTTCTTCACCTCTGACTCTGTCCCCAGCATACTGGAGATGCCTGGTACATAATTGTTGAACGAATGAGTGAATGCGCATGAAGTTCCACGTTTTTTTTTTTTTAAGAGAGAGATTTTTGTTATAGGATGCGTGTGCTCGCCACACTTCAGTCTCTTCTCCATTCTCCTCTGAGGAGTCTGGGCACCTACCCACACGCACTCTGCCCCAGGTCCAGGACTCAAACCACAGTCGACCACGTGGGAGTCCAGCGAAGTATCCATTATGCCATCAGCTGGTCCCGAAATTCCACTTTTCATGTCTTGTGAACCCGCCTGGCCCAGGCCTGGTGTCAGGGCCTCCAGCCCCCTAGCCTGGGTTTCCAGTGCATTACACATCTGCTGACGTCGTAACACCACCCCCTAGTCCTGCCCTCCACTCCACCAAGAGGCCCCTGGACCTAAAGCTCAATCGGAGATGGCTCCGCCCACACATAGCCCAGGTTGGAAGGTGGAGGCAACGCCCACCTCGCCGGGCTGCCTAGGATTGGTGCGACAGCCACCACCAGGAGGCGGGGACAGGGCCCAGAGGCGGCTGACGCCATCCGGGCCAGGAAAGTCCAGCCGGGTCCCAGCCGGGTGGCTGGCCAGAGACTGACGGCGCGTCCAGGCGGTGAGTGCGTGGCAGCCGGACGGGCGGGAGCGGCGGGACCCGCGGGAGCTGGGGTCGCCGACAGGCTTGGCGCGCGCACAGGGGACTGCCAAGCCGAGCTCCGACAGCAAGTCTAAACGCTGTGCCCGGAGCTCGGAGCCGCCGCGCCCGGGGACCTTGGTCGTCAGCCCGGTCTTGTTTTCTAGACCAGGAGGACCGAGGGTACGGGAGGACGAGGAACCACCCATCATGGCATCGGAGGTGAGTGGGACCTCGGGGACGTCCATCTTCTGAGCCTCCGAAACGGGGAGGACCCTGGGTGCCAGCCAAGGCCGTGACCTGCGCACGAGATCTTCCCGTGCCAGACCCACCGCCGGCCTCGCTCCAGATAATTGCCGGTGCTGGTTCCAGGCGGCCGGCGCACCTGATGCACCTGTGAAAACCTGGCAGAGACCTTTACCCGGATTCCCGGGGTTCCCATCACCGTCCTTCCTCTGGATCACCCCTGGTGTCCCCTCTAGTTGGGGGAGAGGACCCTGCCTTGACCTGACAGTGGTGCCTGCCCTCTGGGAAGGGCTGCGCTCTCACTCAGCTCCTCACCTCGCCAATAGTCCCTACCCTGCACCACACCCCTTCTCCCGCGCAGCAATTGTCCCTGCGTAGAGAGGAGCTTCAGCGGGAAAGTGCCCTGCCCTCGACTGCATGTACTGATAGAAAGGTTCAGAAGTGGGCCAGGAGGTGTTGTGGAGGTCAAGGCGGCTGGATCCCACATGGCTGACTAGTGGTCGGCATCCCAGGCCTAGGACTTGAATAGAATGCTGGGCAGGCGGGCGGCCAGCCTGGGCGCCCAACATTCCAAGAGGAAAGTAGAAGAGAAAGGATGTGCTGTGGCTACGCCCCCTGGGTGGTGATTTCTCACTTTCCCTCTGATCTCTCCAGTGAGCCCAGGAACCCTTATAGCAAAAACAAACAAAAAACAGAGTGGGCCAGGAAGTGGCGCCGTAGTTAAGATGCTGGACTCCCAACATGGCTGAACACAATTCGAGTCCTGGACCTGATGGCTACTTTCACCCTTTCTCTCTCTCTTGCTCATTCTCAGTTCTCTCTGGCGACCACCTGTAGCAAATTAGAAAACAATAACAATACATTGTGAAAAGAAAGGGCCAGAAGGTAGGAGGCTGTCCCTTGTGTCTCCACTGGCCTCCCGTGCCTGGGTCCTTCCTTCGCCAATGGCCTCTCCTTACGGTCACGGTCTCTTGGCTTCTGTCCCTGACCACTGAGTGGCAGGAGTCCAAGGCAGTTCCTTTCCTTAGTCCTCAGGTGATTTATTTGGCAAATGGGGACAATCATAGCTGTCTGTCCCTCTATAAGGTACTGGATCCTGAGGTCACTGCTTTGAGCCCTTCAGGAAGGGGGCTTTTTGCCTGATCCCAATGAGAACTCTGAGCCTGGAAGGCAGATCTGGCTTCCAGTTCCCTGGGCCTTCATTAGCTGCAGGTCACTTCCTCTTTCTCTCTCAGTGCATCTGAATAAATGGGGTAAGAATCCTGCCCTGCTGGCTTCCACTTCTCAATGGAGGGGCCAGGGGCAGAGCCTGGACTTTGGAGCCGAGCAAACTTGGTTTCTGTACCAAAGAGACTCGATTTCCCTGAACCTCTTTTGTCGTTTATAAAACAAGGGTAATAGTGCCTACCTTGTAGGAGGATTTCCCAGCATTTGGGAGCCCTAGCACGGCCGAGCGATAGCAGAGGCTCAGTGGATGATGGCTACCAGGAGCAGTGCCGATATCCCCTGTACAATAATGGCTGTCGGCCCCTCTGTAAACAGGCTGTTGCTCATTCAATCCAGCCCAGCTCAGTGGCCTGCCCCCCTAGCCTCAGAGAGATCATTCTGGCCCAGAAATGACCTGGCTCAGAGCAGTGCCCCACGGGTCTCTCCCTCTCCTCAGTGCCTAGGTGAAGGCACTACGCTCTGCCCTCCTCCTGGGCTCTTCATATGCCTGCCAGGAGGGTGGGAGCTTGGTCCCAGGGCAGAGTGATCTGCCCTCAGGCCAGCGCTTCGGTGACCTCAGCTTGCCCCCGCCATCCTGCAGGTTGGTACTAATTGGTTTGGCTGCAGCCTGGCTTGTTAAGTACTTGTTATTACTAACAACTGGAGCAGGGAGGTCCAGGAACCTGCCAGGGGTGGAGGTGTGTGTGTATGTGGAGAGAGGCAGTGCCAGCCAGGCTCCTAGCTGAGGGGTGACTGGCTGGCCTTGCCCTCTGGCCCCAGTTGTCAGGACCAGGACCCCACGTGGTGCTTTGCTGCAGAGCCAGGCTTGGTGGGACAGCTGGAGAGTAAGGGGCGGGCCGGTTCAAAAGGCTGAGGGGGGCGGAGGCTGCCTCTGCAGGGCAGAGTCCTTTGGCAACCAGGACTGTTGGGCATGGAGGGGTCAGCCCACAGCCTGGGGCAGAGCACCATGGAGACTCCTGCAGTGCTGCCTAGCCCCCTCTTAGTGATACTGAGCATTCACTATTCACACTGTGCTAGGTACACGCTTAGCAAACATCCAGTTCAGTGCTCACAACAAGCCTATCACGTAGGTACTGCTATTGTTTAATAGAGAGGTAACCCTGAGGTTTTAGACAGGGGACATAACATGCCCATGGTCAGGAGCATTGCAGAGGGATAGCAGAGGACCCCCTTCTATAAAAAGGATGGCCATGAAATAACCTGCCCACCCACACCCCACACATACACCCCAGCACACTGTCCTCCCAGGCCTTGGCACTCCAGGTACTTGGACTGCTCCCCAGGTGTTCTGCACCCCTCCCCCATCCATCGCATGCCCTGGCCAGTGCCCTCTTTCAAAACATGGGTGCCTCTAAGCCATCCCTCTGCCCTTGGTTCCTTGGGGCTGAGGGGTCAGCTAGTGACTTCCTAGGAGACCGTCATAAGAGTGTCAGGGGTATTCTCCAGAACATATTAGAAGTTGGAGTTGGGCTCTTAGGGCCCAAACTGTGGGAGAGAAAGATGCAGGTAACACGGGACCAGCAGTTGGCGTAATGGCTAGGTCGCTGGACTCCCATGTAGTCGACCGCAGTTTGAGTCCCGAACCCAGTGGCTTAAACTCACGCTGGGTGCATGTGTGTGCATGCCCAAGGTCCCGCGAGGAGAATGGAGAAGGGATTGCAGCGTGGTTATCCCCCGGGGGATGGTTTCTCGCTTTCTGGCTTTCTGTCTGTCTGGCAAGCGCATGCGCCCTATAGCAAAAACCTCTCAAAAAAAACCCAGAAAGATGCAGGTAACTCAAGTCCGGTAGGTGCCCTCACTGCCTGTTCCTGCATGATAATTCAGGACACCAGAGCAAGCAGATAGGCCCTGGTGGAACGTGGGGTTGAGAGCAGGGGCTCTGACACCAGACTGCTGGATGGCAGCTCTGGCTCTCCCATGCCCAGTGAGGGCAAGCTCTTCCCTTTGCCTCAGTTTCCCCTTCTCCAGAGTGGCATCGTGTTGTTGCCTGCCTCAGAGGGTTGCTGTCAGTTCAGTACGTGCCACGCAGTGGGCATCAGGCCTGGCACACAGGAGAGGGACTGTACGTGAGCCGGCACTGCTGTCACTGTCACTGTTACATCAGAGCTGGATAAAACTCTGGGATCGGGTGACTTCTCACCTTGCTCAGTGACAGCAAGGGTTCCAGAAATTCGGATGCAATCTCAGGGATGTCTCGTACCCCCTATCATCACCTCCTTGGAGTCCTGCTATGGGGTGGGAACGAGCTCTAACCTCGGTGTCCAGCTGCGTCTCCACGCTCACTCCCTCGTTCCTGGCCATCTGGGTCTACCCAGTGAGGACAGTCCTGCCTGCTGCGCCCACTGCCATCAGATGTGGTGCCCCTCCTGAGGGCCCTCTGCATGAGGCACTGTTCTGAGGGTGGGGGAGAGTAACTGCTCCCACTTTCTTAACCAGAGTGGAAAGCTATGGGGTGGCCGCTTTGTGGGTGCAGTGGACCCCATCATGGAGAAGTTCAATGCATCCATCAACTATGACCGGCACCTGTGGGAGGTGGACGTGCAGGGCAGCAAGGCCTACAGCAGGGGCCTGGAGAAAGCGGGGCTCCTCACCAAGGCTGAGAGGGACCAGATACTCCACGGCCTGGACAAGGTACTCTCCATGCCCAAGCTCCACCCGAGGCCCCTCTCTGGAGCCCCAGGCTCCCAGTGAATCCCCACGTGCAGGCTGCAGTGTCACGTTGTAAGAATCCTTTGCTTAGACATGCTGGGCAGCCACGTGCTGTGGTCACCGTCTCTCTCATCCTTCAATGGCCCCCATAGCTCATGGACAAAGCTGTACTTGGCCCAACATGCTTCCTCGGGTGTGGGGGCAGTGCCAGCCTCCTCCTAAGGGGCATTGCCAGGACTTCGCTCCTGTACAGGGACAGCCGGTCATCAGGGAGAGGGTAGGACCTGGACACGGGCATCTGGACAGTCCTGCCCACTGACCCTGGGATTGCTGCATCACTGTAGGTGGCTGAGGAGTGGGCCCAGGGCACCTTCAAACTAAACCCCAATGATGAGGACATCCACACAGCCAACGAGCGGCGCCTGAAGGTATGACCCTGCCCCGCCTCCCTGGCCTCCCGTCTCCACCTTGCCCTGGACCACACTGAGAATAAGTGCCAGATTCTCTTCCCTTCAGCACGGGCAGAGTGCAGGGGCACCTCAGAATAGGAGATGAGAAACAGCAAGACGTTTGGGCAGGAGCAGGGGCTCTGGGGGAGGTGGGCAAGTGAAGGCTGGTGAGGAACCCTGCCCTGCCTGGCTCAAACCCCTGGGCTGTGAGCGTGCAGACCCTGACTCTGTGTCTCCCTCTGCCCCAGGAGCTCATCGGGGAGACCGCAGGGAAGCTGCACACAGGACGCAGTCGCAACGACCAGGTGCTGCCGGCCCCTCCGCCCGTCACTGCATGCCCAGGCGGCCGTCAGGGCTGTGGTCCTGGCTCCTCAGGGAAGCAGCACATCTGCCTCCCTGAGGGCCACCTCCTCCTCCCCACAGGTGGTCACAGACTTGAGGCTGTGGATGCGGCAGACCTGCTCCTCACTCTCGGCCCTCCTCTGGGAGCTCATCAGAACCATGGTGGATCGGGCAGAGGCGTAAGTCCTCCAGAGACCTGGGTGGCAGAGAGGGGCATGAGGGTAGCCAGGGTCTCCTCTCCCCTGAACACCAGACCTGGGGGACAGTGATAATCAGGGTCAGGGAGCCAGGCCCTGTGTACGGGGTGGCCCCAGAACTCCTGGACCAAGCAAGGCACAGGATCCAGGAGTGGGGCAGTTCTTGCATCCTCCTAACCTCTGTGGAAGTTAGGAGGCTTGAGGCTTGCAAAGCTCACCCTTTGAGGATTTGAAGGCAGGTGGCTAAGGGGTTAGGCAAATGTCCTGGAGCCCAAGGAAAGGGCCTGACTGTGACTGGAGCAGCCAGAGCCACTCCCAGTCTGTCTGTGTCCCATGTCCCCCATGTTACATCCTCCATCCCCACCCAGCATGGCTGGCAAAGGAAAAGCCAAAGCTGCCTCCTGCTGACCTTATCTCAGGCTTTGGCTCCTGTGACCTGCTTTTGCAGCTGGCTTGCTTCTTGCAGACCTGGCCTAGGAGCTGCTGACAAGTCCCTGTGTGGCGTCAGAGACAGGGCTGACCCCTCCTTTTCCCGACTCTCTGTCCCCTAATTTACAGACCCGTCACCTGCTGGAAAACAAAGGCATAGAACTGTTACCCTGGGGTGGGGTAGGCCCGGATAGGGGAATAGCGAGTGTTGATGGTACCGAAATTCGTTATGGGGGTGATGAAAATGCTCTAAAATTGATGTGGTGGTAGTTATACATAGAGCATACGCTTTAAATGGGTAAATTGTCTATGAATTTTATCTCAAAACAGGTGCCCATTTAAAATAAAACCACAAAATAGACCCATTACCCACAGCACGTCTCCCCCATCCCATCGATGTTAAGGTGCTCCCAGCTATTTCTGAGGGCCTGCCTATTCACAACACAGCCTCCCACTGCCAGGTGGGCCCACTGTGGGCCTCCTCCCTGCTCTGGTCCCTGCAGGCCAAGTCCATGTTCAGTCCTGGCAAAGCCTCGCCTCCTGTAGGCGCCTTGATCACACCGTCCCACTGCTGGTCTCTTCCTTTAGGATCTGTTTATCCCAGGAGATCACCTTGTCCCTCATTTAGGCAGAGCCTTGCAGGCCTGCTCTGCTCTTCCCTGGAGTAGTCTGGGCCTACAGGGTCCCAGGGTCATAGGCAGGCCTCACGTGAAGTTCGATGCCAGCCTCTGCCTGCCTCCAGTCCCTGAGGACTCGCCTCTTTTCTGCCACAGGGAACGTGACGTCCTCTTCCCAGGGTACACACACCTGCAGAGGGCTCAGCCCATCCGCTGGAGCCACTGGATCCTGAGGTGAGGAGTGGTGCCGAGGTGCCACGAAGGGGCTGCGATGGAGGGGAGGCCCCGGCTGCCCTGACCCTCCTGCCCCTGGTTCCCACAGCCATGCCGTGGCCTTGACACGGGACTCTGAGAGGCTGCTGGAGGTACAGAAGCGGATCAACGTCCTGCCCCTAGGGAGGTGAGCGAGTCTCCATGGCTCTGAGGGCCTGCTGGCCTGAGAACTGGTGTGGCCTGGGGGCTCAAATTATGGCCCTTGGGGATTGACAGAGGAAGGACAGAGAGGGACAGAAAGCCAGGTAACCGGCCAGGAAGTGGACCCTGCATGGATACCCAGCTCTCTCCAAGATGAGGACGACCGAGCTAGTGAATGTGTCTGAGGAGGGCGAGATCTCTCAGAGGCTTAGCTAGCTGCCTGCAGCCTGCCATTTCCCCCGCATGGGGACACATGTTCTGGCACCCAGGGCGACTGGGCCCAGAAAGGGGCTGAGGTGCAGACTGTAGCCCTGACAACCACTGTGAATCTCCTGTCCCTGCAGCGGGGCCATTGCAGGCAATCCTCTGGGTGTGGACCGGGAGCTGCTCCAAGCAGGTGAGATGCCCTGCCCCTCCTCCCTGGGGAAAGTCTCCCTTGGCACCCATCGAGTTCCACAGACCCACATGAGAAGAGAGGGCCTAGGCCTGTGCCTTCTGGGCAGAACCTTCATTTATGGCCTATGGGGTTAAGCTCACCCATGGCAGGAGGACCTGGTCCTGGGGAAGCCCAGCGCTCCTGGCTCCCTCCTGGGACTTGTGCTTCCCCACCCTCTTCCCCTGTGTCTGGACAACCTGCTCTGGACTAGAAGAGCCCACTCCTTGCCCTCCAGCCCAGCTGTTTCTTCCTCATTCCCCGCCTCCAGAGCTGAAGTTTGGCGCCATCACCCTCAACAGCATGGATGCCACTAGTGAGCGAGACTTTGTGGGTAAGTCTTGGGGGTCACTTTACTCATCTCCAGGGCCAGTCCCCTGCTTTGTCCCCCAGCCCCAGTTTCTCCCGTGTCCTTCCATGCCCAGACGGTCCACCTGGAGCTTCCCAGGCTGGGAGGGGAGTGGGAGGCTTAGGGACCAGAGCACCTGCTCTCCCTCCCTCTCCCAAGCTGAGTTCCTGTTCTGGGCTTCACTGTGCATGACCCACCTCAGCAGGATGGCTGAGGACCTCATCCTCTATGGCACCAAGGAGTTCAGCTTCGTGCAGCTCTCTGATGCCTACAGGTGAGCCCGAGCTGCCGCCTGCCCTGCCCTACCTCTGCACTCACCGGCATGGTGGCCTTCCTCCCCACCCCACCCACTGGCCAGGGATGGATGGAGTGTGTGCAGCCTGGTCTGCCCTGCCCCAGTCAGCAGACCAGCAAGGGGCAGGCAAGCCCTTTCAGTCCCAGCATCTCTGTCCCCAGCACTGGAAGCAGCCTGATGCCTCAGAAGAAAAACCCAGACAGCCTGGAGCTGATCCGGAGCAAGGCGGGGCGAGTGTTTGGGCGGGTGAGCAGGGCAGAGAGGGGACAAGGCCCTGGGCTGACCTGGTGGGTCCCCAGGGGTCTTGTAGGAGTGGCCAAGGGTCCCCTGCTCCTGAGCCTCACTCTTCCTGCAGTGTGCCGGGCTCCTGATGACCCTGAAGGGACTTCCAAGCACCTACAACAAGGACTTACAGGTGGGAGTCTGGGGGCTGGGAGAGGGACCCCTCTGCCTACACTCCATATTCCAGTTCACGGCTCTGGCACAGTCAGGCAGGGGACCCACAGAACTGCCACCTCCCATCTTGGGCACACAGCCCTGTGACCGCCCTCAGCGCTCTCTTCTCCTGGTGTGGGTATAAGAAGTACTGAGTGTCCCAGGGGAAGGTGGTGGGATGTCTGGGTGGGTGATGGGCCCTAACCCCCTTGCCATGTGCCCCCCCAGGAAGACAAAGAAGCCGTGTTTGAAGTGTCAGACACCATGAGTGCCGTCCTCCAGGTGGCCACTGGTGTCATCTCTACACTGCAGGCAAGACACACCCTCCCCTACTCACCCGCCTTTTTATCCCTAGGCCCCTAGATTCCAGGGTGGCCCTGCCAGGAGGGTGATCTTGAGAGGTGGTGAGGGCGGGTGGAAGACTTGGGCAGGGGAAGAAAGGGTATGGAGGTGGAGAGCAGTGAAGGGGCAAAAGCTACTGCTGTAGACAGAAGTGGATTCGACTCGAGGGGCCCAGAGCCCATCAACTAGCCAGACCAGATTTCTTTTTGATCATTCGTTAGGGGAATTTTCAGTGTATGAGAGTCCTTAATGAACCCTATGTGCCAACACCCAGCTGTGACAATAATCACGACCATTCTATTTCAGCGATCTTCACCTACCTACCACACCCCACAAAATTATTTCAAAGCAAATTCCCACCGTCACATCGGTTCATTCTTAAATAGTTTACAATGTGTCTCTGGAGCACTAGTTCTCAAAGTGTGGTTCCCAAACTAGCACCACCAGCACCACCTGAGAACTTGGCAGAAATGCAGTCCTATGAGCCAGTCAGCGGCCTGGTGGTCAGGGCTGTCGGATCCCACATGGCTGACCTCATGCTTTGAATGCTGGACCTGGTGGCTTAAAAACATGCCAGGTGTGTGTGTGAGCGTGCACAAAATCCCCAAAGGAGGGAGATATGGAGAAGGGACTGCAACATGACCATGCCCCATATGGACTTTCTTACTTTCCCTCTCCTTTTGTCTCTGTCTCTCTCTGAGGAGTCATGTGGACTCTGGCAGAGTGAAAGAATATATACAGAAAGAGAGAAGAAAAAGAAAGAAAAGAAAGGAGAAGAAAGGAAAGAAAAGAAAGGAAGGAAGGAAGGAAGGAGAAAGAAAAGCAATCCTAGCAGACCCCCTCCAGATTTCCTGAATGAGAAACTGTGAGGGTAGGGCCCAGCAATTTGCATTTTTAATAAATCCTCCAGGTAATCTTGATGCATGCTAGAGATAACGACCCTGAAAGCACAAAAGTCAACCCCAATAGTAAACCTACAACGTATGAGTGTTATGAGCAGATGGGTCAATCAGAGCCAGGTAGGCTTCCTGCCTTAGGCGGTCGGCCTTGGTCCTGGGGCCAGTGGCCTCAGACTCCAGGGGCTCCAGTGCTCCCCACTTAGCAGTCGATGCCCCCAGATTCACCGTGAGAACATGGCACAGGCTCTTAGCCCAGACATGCTGGCCACTGACCTTGCCTACTACCTGGTTCGCAAAGGGGTAAGTGAGAGAGGCTGCCAGGCAGAGGCGGGCATGGGGACATTGCCCAGGCTGGGGTAGGGGAGGCCAGGAAGGGGCCCCAGGAAGAACCTGAATGGAGAGAGCCTGCCTCAGTGCCGCTTTCCCTGTGCCCGGTGCCCCCAGATGCCATTCCGCCAGGCCCATGAGGCCTCTGGGAAAGCTGTGTTCATGGCAGAGACCAAGGGGGTTGCCCTCAACCAGCTGTCGCTGCAGGAATTGCAAACAATCAGGTGCGGCCCACTAACCCTTCCCTTTGCTGCCTCCCAAGAGACCAGCCTGGGTGTCTGGAGGCCACAGTGGCCTGGCGGCTCTGGCCATCCCCTCCTCTCCCCTACCCTCAGCCCCCTGTTTTCGGGTGACGTGAGCCGCGTGTGGGACTACGGGCACAGCGTGGAGCAGTACGGCGCCCTGGGCGGCACAGCGCGCTCCAGCATCGACTGGCAGATCAGCCAGGTGCGAGCTCTGCTGCGGGCACAGCAGGCCTAGGCTCCTCCCGCACCTGCTTCCAAATAAAGTGGGCCCAGAGGCCACTGCGCCTGTTTCCTGCCCCAGCCTGTCCTCATTGGTGTGAGCTTTTGGGGTCTGTTGAGGACCAAAGTGGGGCCACAAAGGAAGTGGAGAAACTGAGTGAGGATGGGGAGAATCGGGAATGGGGAGGGGTCGGGCCTCTCATAATAACTTCTGTTCTGTCCAGGCCCTACCCCTTCATCGCAGGGTATCCCTTGGGTGTCCTAGGCAGGTTTGTCCTCCTTGGAACCCCAGTGAGCCCTGATGGACGTAGCTGGCCGTCACTGCCCATCTCCCTTCCTGCCCAGCATCCCCTAGGTTTCCCGTCTTCCTTCTCCCCCTACTTCACTGGCCACTCACAGGCCCATTCAGGGGACTCTCGGGCAGAGGCCTGTGCCAGGATTGTAGGGGGAAATGCATGCCCTTGTAAGGTGCGTGGTAAATTTGGTGGAAAACCCAGTCCTCCAGCTAGCACGGGATGCCAGACACTAGCCTCATACAGGGGCGAGGAGGACACCTCCTCCTCTCCTGAGAGTGATGTACAAATAAACTCACACTGACCGTGAGCAATGTGGTGCCTGGAGGTGGTCTGCCTTGAGCTGCGGTCAGGGAAGGATGGTCATACCGTGTGTGCAAAGGGCCCTGAGGCTAGCCTAGCACACAGTAGGTGTTCAGTAGAGCCCACAGAAATACAGAGACCTCTCCCACACAAATATCACCAAAGTCCTGATAAGGAATGTGTGTTTACAGTTTATTAACAACAACAACAACAAAAAAAACAAGATAAATTCAAGGAAGAATGAATAACCCCTCCCAAGGGATTCTGGGAACATGAAGAGATTTTGTAACCTCCACTCCAGCAGTGGGTTCATGACACCCAATTCTAAAAAAGAGCTACGAGTCAGCATCTTTCAGAGCAGTGGCTCTCCACGTGCAGCTCCTGACCAGCAGCAGCAGCAGCAGCACTTGAGAACCTGTCAGAAACAAGTTCAGGTTTCAAGCCCCACCCAAACCTAGTAAGTCAGATACCGAGTGTGGCCCAGTGATCTGTTCGCACAAGTCTTCCAGGTGATTCTGGTGTGTGCTCAAGTGTGAGAATCCCTGGGCTCTAGACCCTCATTACACAACGTTGCCATAGACTAGCAAGGTCGGCCTCGCCGGGTCCTACCCTGACATACTCTTTCAGAATCCCCACGTGCATCCTCTCATGCGTTAGTCAGAGGTGCAACCCAGAGAGAACACCTAAAATCTGCTCTCAGGGGAACCAGCAGTTAGCGTAATGGCTATGTCACTGGACTCCCACGTAGTCGACCGCGGTTCACGTCCCGGACCCAGTGGCTTAGAACTCACGCCGGGTGCGTGTGCGTGCGTGCCCAAGATCCCGAGAGGAGAATGGAGGAGAAGGGATTGCGGCGTGACTATCCCCCCTGGGGAGTGATTTCTCGCTTTCTGTCTCTATGTCTCTGTCTGTCTGTCTGGCGAGCGCATGCGCCCTATGCTGAAAACATCTCAAAAAAAAAAAAATCTGCTCTCAGAATTGAAGATCAGCCTTATGTCCATGGAACCGCAGGTCGTATGAAACAAAGATCGTAATCCATGAAACACAGAGCTGGAACCAACTGACAGAAGATGGCCGTGATACTTATTCTCCATCTGTTTTTAGACAATCCTATTAAGCCCCCGCGCAACCCAACCAGAATCAGACTCTGACCAGAAGAATGGGCCTTCCCTGGCTCTCCCGAGCTCATGTATATAGCTCATCTCCATGCTCTGTCCATATGCGATAGCTACTCATCTTGCCTCTGTTACCAACTGCTGCCTCTAGTACCCACTGGCTTAATCTTTTTTTGGGGGGGGCGGGGGGAGGTTTTTGCTATGGGGAGCATGTGCCAGAAAGAGAGAGAGAGATAGAGAGCGAGAAATCACTCCCCAGAGAGAATCGCCATGCCACAATCCATTCTCCTCTCAGGATCCTGGGCATGCACACACATGTGCCTGGCATAAGTTTAAGTCACCAGGTACAAGACTCGAAACACAGTCAACTACATGGGAGTCCAGCGACGTAGCCATTACACCAACTGCCGGTCCCTTAACAGGCTTAATCTTTAACTCTTCTCTGCTTTTTTGTTTTAAATCTCACTATCTGTGTATATTTTGTATTGCTTTCCTTCCTATTGTTGCTGTAACTAATGACCACAAACTCAATGGGTAAAAGCAACATATGTAGGGGCTGGCAGGTGGTGTGGTGGTTAAGGCACTGAACTCCCACATGACTGACCATGGTTTGAGTCCCAGACCTGGTAGCTTGAAACTCATGCCAGACATGTGTGCATGCATTCCCAAAATCCCAAGAAGAGAAGAGAGGAGAAGGGACTGCAGCAGCACTTTCCCTCTCTATGTCTCTGTCTGCCAAGTGCACACACCCTGCAGCAAAACAAAAACAAAACAAAAGCAAAAACCCACAACATACGTGAATTATAATTCCAGAGGCTACAAGTCTGAAATGGGTTTTAGTATGACAAAAATACGCATCAGCAGGGCCAGGCTTCCTCCAGATCTAAAAGAATCCACTCCCTTATGTTTTCCAGTTTGTAGAGGCCACCTACATTGCTGAGCTTGCCGTCCCTTCCTCCATCTGCGGCTCGCAGTGGAGCATCTTCGAAACTCTCTCTGCTTCTATTGTCACATTCTGACCCTTCCGCCTCCCTCTTATAACTTGTGAATCCATCTAGATAAATGAAGGTAATCTGCATCTCAAGATCTCTAACTTATATCTGCAAAGTTCCTTTCAGCATGTAAAATAACAGTCTCAGGTTCTGTGGACAAGTCCAGGGGACAATCTTTCAGGCTACCACAGTCAGCTGTCTGGCTCTCAAAGGCTCACATCCATCACATACAAAATACATTCCTCCCAACCCTTGATTCCCCAGAGTCTTAGTCCGTTACAGCATCAACTCGAGTTTAAAATCTACATCCCATCAACTAAAAAGGCCCATATCTCCTTATCTAAACTGTCTAAATGAGATATAAGTGAGGCAGGATGATTCTGGGGCAAAATCCCTCTTTACCTATGAACCTATGAGACTCATGTGATTGTAGTGAGGATTACATGGGTTCAATATAGTCAATACATAAACCTGAGAACCTGTTATCTGCCCCCAAAATACAATGCTGAGGCCGGCAAAGGATAACAATTACGGACATTTTTTTTTTTTTAAAGAAGTTTTTGTCATAGGCAGGATGATTCTGGGGCAAAATCCCTCTTTACCTATGAACCTATGAGACTCATGTGATTGTAGTGAGGATTACATGGGTTCAATATAGTCAATACATAAACCTGAGAACCTGTTATCTGCCCCCAAAATACAATGCTGAGGCCGGCAAAGGATAACAATTACGGACATTTTTTTTTTTTTAAAGAAGTTTTTGTCATAGGGTTCATGTGATAGGCAAAGGATAACAGTTACGGACATTCTTTTTTTTTTTTAAAGAAGTTTTTGTCATAGGGTTCATGTGCTCAACAGAGAGAGAGACACACACAGAGACAGTGAAAGGGAAAGTGAGAAATCACCCCAGGAGAGATTGCCATACTGTAATCCCTTTTCATCCTGCCATCTTGGGCACGCATGCACATGCACTGGGCGTGAGTTTCAAGTCACCTGGTCTGGGACTTGAACCATGGTCAGACAAGTGAGAGTCCAGCGACGTAATAACTATACCATCTGCTGACCCTCTCAGACATTTTGATTTTCTTTTAAAAATTATTTTATTTAACTTTATTTACTTATTTTTAATTTGACCAGAGAGAGGGGGAAGTGAGAAGGCAAGCCGCTATGTCCAGGACTTGAACCATGGTCCACCATGTGGGAGTTCAGCACCCTTAACCACCATGCCACCTGCCAGCCCCCAGACATCGCAATTTTAAAAGAAAAGAAATAAGAAATAGAAAAAGGGACTCACTGGTCCCAAGTTTTGTTCATTTGTTTGTTTGTTTGTTTGTTTGTTTTTTAGGTTTTGCCATAGGGAGCATGCACTTACCAGAGAGACACAGGGAGGGAAAATGAGAAATCAACCCCCAGGGGGGAGAGCCACTCCACAATCCCTTCTCCTCCTAAGATTTTGGGCTAAGATTTTGGGCATCAATGCACTGCATCTAGTGTGATTTTTCGAATTGCCAGGTCCAAGACTCAAGCCACAGTTAGCTATATGGGATTCCAGCACCTTAACCATCATGCCACCTGCTGGCCCCACATCCGAAACAATTTTAAAGTCCAACTCAGAAAATGCCATGAAGTCTCAAGGCCTAGAAACAACCCATGGCTCTCAGTTCTGCCCTCTGTCTGCACCACTACCCTTGGAATTGTCATTACTTTTTCTTGAAGACTAGCAGGTGACTATAGCTGAGTAATTATCAGCCTATTTCCTGTATCTTTAATTTTGAGAGAACTTTGAGAGACATTTTATTTTATTTATCTTCTGCTATAGGGCACATGTGCTGACCAGAGATAAAGAGAAAGCGAGCAATCACCCCTGGGGGATGGCCTATGCTTGATCCCTTCTCCACTCTCCTCTCAGGATTTTGAGTTCACACGCATATGTGCCTGGCATGTTTTTCAAGCCACCAGGTCCAGGACTTGAACTGAATAATCAGTTCTGTGGGATCTAGCTGCCTTAACCACCAAGCCTCAACCACTGGCAGCCCGTAGAGAGCCTTTTTAAATGTCCCTTTCTTCCATGTTCCTTCAAGTCCACATGGGCAGTATTTCTGCTGATATAACATCCTCCAGAACTTTGTGGTTTCCTGTGTCTGCCTGGGGTTTACCTCATTAGACAAGCGGGTCCTCCGCAGATCTTCCTGGACAATCTCATCTTGATTTCTGGCTTCTGCTGAGCTATTCAAGGGGATCCATGAATCGTCTACCTAAGTTTTTCAATTCACATTCTTATAATATGCTCTGACATTTTGATCCTTCCAGGACACTAGCAAAATGTTGTTCAATCACACCCTGGGCTTTCTCTCAAAAGCATGCATTCCTGACAGTGTATCTCCATTTTAGCATCTTCTGCAATGTAGATAGGATAGGTAGAGAATTTCCCAAATCATCGGATCCTAGTTTCTTTTTGTTTAATAATTATTACCTACATATAGCTTTTTCATTTGTTTGCATTTTTTTTTGGAGAGATTTTCACTGTAGGGCGCGTGTGCTCGCCAGACAGACAGAGAGAGACATAGAGACAGAAAGCGAGAAATCACCCCCCAGGGGGGATGGTCACGCCGCAATCCCTTCTCCTCCATTCTCCTCTCGGGATCTTGGGCACGCACGCACACGCGCCCGGCGTGAGTTTTAAGCCACCGGGTCCGGGACACGAACCGCGATCGACTACGTGGGAGTCCAGCGACATAGCCATTACGCTAACTGCTGGTTCCCCATTTGTTTGCATTTTATATTCTTAGCTTCAAAGGATGCTGAGAAAGCAAGTGCCTAGCAAAAGGAAATGAGGTTTCTTATTAGCAATTGTACTTACCCTTTTTTTTCTTAAAGAGATTTTTGCTACAGTGTGTGTG